GAAAAAGACAATCTTTGTGGGTTACAAGGGAGAGGAGGGGTGGGTAGAGGAAATCACTAACTAGAGAGTAGACCAGTGCTAACCCTGGTGAAGGGAAAGACTACACACAGTATAGGGGAAGTCAACACAACTTAACCAAGGCAATGTCATAGAAGCTTCTTAGACACATACAAACACCTTAAGGGACTGAATTACTGGGGCCGAGGGCTGGTGACCATGGTCTTGAGGGACATGTAGGTCAACTGGCATAACATAGCTCATAAAGAAAATGTTCTACCTCCTACTTTGGCGAATAGTGTCTGGGGTCTTAAAAGCTTTTGAGCAGCCATCTAAGATATATCTACTGGTCCCTGCACATTCGGAGCAAAGGAGAATGAAGAAAACCAAAGACATAAGGAAAATATTAGTCCAAAGGACTAATGGACCACGTGAACCACAGCCTCCACCAGCCTGAGCCCAGAGGAACTAGATGGTGTCCAGCTACCACCACCAACTGCTCTGACAGGGATCACAACAGAGGGTCCTGGACAGAACGGGGGAAAAAATGTGTAGAACAAAATTCAAATTGAAAAAAAAAAGACCAGACTTACTGGTCTGACAGAGACTGGAAGATTCCCCTGGGACTATGGTTCCCAGACACCCTGCTAACTCAGAACTGAAGCCACTCCTGAAGTCCACCTTTCAGCCAAAGGTTAGACAGGTCTATAAAACAAACAATAACACATGTGAGGAAGGTACTTCTTAGTTCAATCAAGTATACGAGACCAAATGGGCAACACCTGCCCAAAAGCAAAGACAAGAAGGCAGGGAGGGACAGGAAAACTAAACAAATGGACATGGAGAACCCGGGGTGGAAAGGGAAAGGGAGAGGGTGCTAACACCGTGTGGGGATTGCAACCAATGTCACAAAACAATTTGGTATAAATTTTTGAATGAGAAACTAATTTGGATGTAACCTTTCACCTAAAGCACAATAAAATATATATATATATATGCCAACTTGAAAGAGGAGTTGTAAGAATTAAAGTAACATATATAATAATGATGTCAGTAAGTAACATTTCCTGGGTGCTGACTAGGGATCAGGTGCTCTGTTAGACACTTTATATGTATGATCTCTTGTAATGCTCCCTCACAGCTGCTCTAATTTTCCTACAAAATTACTGAAAATTAAGGTCCTCAGAAAATCTAGGAAAATTGGAAATCATCAAAAATTAAATGGAATGCATAAACATTGATATTCTAGGCATTAGTGAGCTGAAATGGACTGGTATTTGTCATTTTGAATCAGACCACATGGTCTACTATGCCAGGTATGACAACTTGAAGAGCAATGGCGTTGCGTTCATTGTCAAAAAGAACATTTCAAGATCTATCCTGAAGTACAGTGCTGTCAGTGAAAGGATAATATCCATACGCCTACCAGGAAGACCTGTTAATACGACTATTATTCAAATTTATGTACCAATCACTAAGGCCAAAGATGAAAAAAATTTAAGATTTTTACCAACTTTTACAGTCTGAAATTGATTAAACATGCAGTCAGGATGCACTGATAATTATGCATGATGGGAATGCAAAAGTTAGAAACAAAGAAGAAGGAAAGGTAGTTGGAAAATATGGCCTTGGTGATAGAAACAATGCCGGAGATCACATGATTGAATTTTGCAAGACCAACGACTTCTTCATTGCAAATACCTTTTTTCACCAACATAAAGGGCAACTATACACATGGACCTCACCAGATAGAATACACAGGAATCAAATTGACTACATCTGTGGAAAGAGATGATGGAAAATCTCAATATCATCAGTCAGAACAAGGGTAGGGGCTGACTGCAGAACAGACTATCAATTGCTCATATGCAAGTTCAAGTTGAAACTGAAGAAGTTAAAACAAGTTCACGAAAGCCAAAGTACGACCTTGAGTATATCCCACCTGAATTTAGAGACCATCTGAAGAATAGATTTGATGCATTGAACACTAATGACCGAAGCCAGACAAGTTGTGGAATGACATCAAGGACACCATATATGAAAAAAGCAAGAGGTCATTAAAAAGACAGGAGAGAAAGAAAACTCCAAAACGGATGTTAGAAGAGACTCTGAAATTTGCTCTTGAATGTCGAGTAGCTAAAGCAAAAGGAAAAAATGATGAAGTAAAAAAGGTGAACAGAAGACTTCAAAAGGCAGCTCGGGAAGACAAAGTACAGTATTATGATGACATGTGCAAAGACCTGGAGATAGAAAGCCAAAAGGGAAGAACACGTTCAACATTTCTCAAGCTGAAAGAACTGAAGAAAAAACTCAAGCCTCAAGTAGCAATAGTGAAGGATTCTATGGGGAAGATATTAAACGATGCAGGAAGCATTGAAAGAAGATGGAAGGAATACAGAGTCACTATACCGAAAAGAATTAGTCGACATTCAACCATTTCAGGAAGTAACATATGATCAGAAATTGATGGTACTGAAAGAAAAAGTTCAAGCTGCACTGAAGGCATTGGTGAAAAACAAGGCTCCAGAAATTGACAGAATACCAATTTGCTCACTCATCTATGCCAAGAAATTTGGAAGACAGCTACTTGGCTAACCAACTGGAAGAGATCCTTATTTATGCCTATTCCCAAGAAAGGTGATCCAACCAAATGCGGAAATTATCAAACAATATCATTAATATCACATGCGAGTAAAATTTTGCTGACGATCACTCAAAAGCGCCTGCAGCAGTATATCAATAGGGAACTGCCAGAAATTCAAGCCGGATTCAGAAGAGGACGTGGAACCAGGGATATCATTGCTGATGTCAGATGGATCCTGGCTGAAAGCAGAAAATGCCAGAAAGATGTTTACCTGTGTTTTATTGACTATGCTAAGGCATTGGACTGTGTGGATCATAACAAATTATGGATAACATTGAAGAGAATGGGAATTCTGGAGCACTTAATTGTCCTCATGAGGAATCTGTACATGGATCAAGAGGCAGTCGTTCAAACAAAACAAGGGGATACTGTGTGGTTTAAAGTCAGGAATGGTGTGTGTCAGCTTTGTATCCTTTCACCATACCTATTCAATGTGTATGCTGAGCTGATAATCTGAGAAGCTGGACTATATGAAGAAGAACGGGACATCAGGATTGGAGGAAGACTCATTAACAACCTGCGCTATGCAGAGGACACAACCTTGCTTGCCGAAAGTGAAGAGGACTTGAAGCACTTACTGATGAAGATCAAAGACCACAGCCTTCAGTATGGATTACATCTTAATATAAAGAAAACAAAAATCCTGACAACTGGACAAATAACTAACATCATGATAAATGGAGAAAACATTGAAGTTGTCAAGGATTTCATTTTACTTGGATCCACAGTCAACAGCCATGGAAGCAGCAGTCAAGAAACCAAAAGACGCATTGCATTTGGGTAAATTGGCTGCAAAACATCTCTTTAAAGTGTTGAAAAGCAAAGATGTCACGTTGAGGACTAAGGTGCGCCTGACCCAAGCTATGGTGTTTTCAATCGCCTCATATGCATGTGAAAGCTGAACAATGAATAAGGAAGACTGAATAAGAACTGACGCCTTTGAATTGTGGTGTTGGCGAAGAATATTGGATATACCATGGACTGCCAAAAGAACGAACAAATCTATCTTAGAAGAGGTACAACCAGAATGCTGCTTAGAAGCAAGGATGGTGAGACTACGTCTTACATGCTTTGGCCATGTTGTCAGGAGGGTTCAGTCCCTGGAGAAGGACATCATGCTTGATAAAGTGATGGTCAGTGAAAAAGAGAATGACCCTCAACGAGATGGATTGACACAATAGGCTCGAGCATAGCAACAATTGTGAGGATGGCGCAGGACCGGGCAGTGTTAAGTTCTGTTGTGCATAGGGTCACTATGATTCGGAACCGAATTAACAGCACCTAACAACAACAGCCGCCCTGTGACAGGCACTATGACTATCCCCATTTTACAGATGATGAAACAAAGGCTTAGAACAGTGAAGTTACTTGCCCAAGGTCCGCCACCAGTAGTAATGGGATGAGAATTTCTGCTTCCAAAACTGTGCCCACAACCACTACACAATATCTTTAGCCTGGCACAGTGGAAGGCTTTATCCAGATGACCATTACTGTGGTGTCTCCCCACAGATCCTCTGCCTGGGTTTGGGGGAAGGTGTGACAGTGAGGAATCCCAGTCTAGTTCTTCCCACACAGCCACCCAGACCACATACCTACTTTAGAGAGCCTTCCTCTCAGAGTGGCCAAACCTCTCCACAAACACTTTGAGTCAACTCCAGTGACCACAGGCGATGGCTTTGCTGCTTCATAGCCTACAACATCTGCCCCCTTCCAGACCTGGCCTTATGCTCTGGCCTTTGAAGTTGTCTGTACATGGACTGGTACTTTGGGACTGGTGGCCCAACAGGGGCTGCCCATGCCCTAGGAGTCAGGCCTGCTGGCATTCACACCTGTAATCTCCTCCAAAACCTTTTCAGGTCTGTCAGAGTAGCTGGGTCTCCGAGAGGCTCAGAATAGTGGGCCTGTCTGGCCAGAAGGAATAACTCGAATCACAAAAGCACTGCGCTTAAGCAGCCTCTCCACTGCTCAGTCTCCCCAAGGCAGACCTAGGGCACTGGATGGGTGCGTGAGTGCGTGCGTGGGTGTGCAAGTCTGGGTGTACAAGTGTATGAAGGAGAGAGTGTTGTGTGAGCGAGAGGGTAGAGGATGTGAGTGTGTGGGTAAGTGTGTGGGTGAGTGTGCGCGCGTGGCTCCGAGTGTGCGCCGCTGCTCTCGGAGGTCCTGGGGCGGGGGGCGGGCGGCGGGCTCGCTGGGAAGATCTCCTCCCCCCACCGCATTGAGAAAGCTCAGTGAGTCACCGAGTGGTTCTGCATATTAATGAGCTCGCTCGCTACGAGGGCAGGAGCGGATTTAAAGGAGGCCAGAGCAGGCGGAGGGAAGCTGTGGAGAGAGCGCAGAGCCAAGCGCAGAAGGGAGCGCAGAGCGCAGCGTGCCGCGACAACCCAGAGACACCCACCGACGGGCGCAGCCGGCGGGAGCGAGGCCGGGAGACGCGCTCCGGGCACAGCGAGCCGAGCCGGGCGGTGTCTCAGCGCCGCCGCACGGACGGACGGGCGCCCTCTCCGCGCGTCCCTGCTCCCGCGCCGCGCCCCTCCAGCCAGCATGAGGCTGCTGACGGCCGCGCTGCTCCTGCTGCTCCTGGCGCTGTGTGCCGCGCGTGTGGACGGTGAGTGCCCGGAGGTCCCCTTGTCTCCGTCCTGTCCCGTCCTGGGGAACCCAAGCGCCAATTGCTTGGCATCCTGGGTTCACGGGGGTCTGGGTGGGCACCGAAGGCGATTGAGGGCGGGAGGCCACGCGTGCAACTGAGTGGTTGCTCGCGCGTTCTCCTGCAGGGTCTAAATGCAAGTGCTCCCGGAAGGGACCCAAGATCCGATACAGCGACGTGAAGAAGCTGGAAATGAAGCCAAAGTACCCGCACTGCGAGGAGAAGATGGTTATGTGAGTTGTCGCTCCTCACCAGTGAGCTCGCTGCTGCGCTTCTCTTAACCGAGTGCTGGGGCACAGCCTGAGACTGGGTCGGGCTAACCAGCATTTCTCTCCACCTTTGTCAAGGCCTCTGAAAAGCCTTTGTAACTGCCCAGCGAGTCCTTAGGACGCTGGCGCGACAATTTGGAAGACAGTCTAGAAAGGGGGTCACTGTCCTGTGCTCCGAAACAGCCTTTCCAGGGAGTTCACCCTCGCTAGGATTCAAATGGGTAGCCTCGGTATTTGCACGGTCTACTGCCCACCCCTCTGAGGGAGAACAAGGGTTAAGTGGCTCCTTAGTGCCAACTTAGAACACCCAGATTGAAATCACTCAAAACATCCCAAACCACTCAACTCGCATGCAAACCGTGAGGCCAGCGTCTCCCCTGTCACTGGAGAGGGAGTTAAAACAAGCATTGTCTGAAATCCGCAGGCCTCTCTGAGCCTTTTTGCACTCCGGGCACCATCCTGGGACGGCCAGTTGTTGGTGTCTAGTGAATTTATTTTGAGGATAGTTCTTGCTCTTCCCGCACCCGCTGGACTCCTTGTGCGTCCCTGCGCCTGAGCGGGCTGCAGACCCTGCCCTGCTGGGGTTAATGTGTGAGGCCACCAGAGCCCTGCTTGGTGGGGATGTGGGGAATATTTTAAAAACTGGGGCAGAGTGAGAGAACACTGCGTTTCCTTGCTCCTCTGCCTTCCCAATTAACCACTTGAGGCCAGCGCCACTGTTTCCCCATCAACACGCTCTTGGCCAGGGAGGGAGCCCTTGGCAAAGCAGCTACCAAATATCTGCTGCCATGGACCGTTGGCCCCTTTTCCCCTCCCCCAGAAACAGGACACACTTTATTCTCAGTCTGGGCAAGTCCCTTCCGCCCGCTGGCCCTGCCGGCCCAGAGGCCTCCACACAGTGTCTGGGAAGGCAGGGCCCAGCCACCTGGGAGCTGCACCACTGGGGCAATTCGGGAAGTTACCAGGCCTGAGCTGCAGCCCACTGCCTTCTTTCTAGGCACCTAAATTAACCTCCTTGTCCCTGTTCCTTTGTCCTTCCCCTCGCCTTGCAGATTAACTTCAGAAACACTGCCAGAAAATCCTTTTTGGTGGGGCCAGTGGTCAAACTAGCTGAGGGAGTGTGGGAGGAGGGACTACAAGCCCCTCAGTGCTGCTAGCTTGAGAGCTGGCAATGACAGAGGTTAAGTTTGCGCTCCTCAAAGCCCTGAAAAACGCTCCAAACATCAAGCCCAGGCTCTGCGACCTTGCAGGGCAGAAGAAGTGGAGTATGGGCTACAGAGACATCTCAAATGATCAGAGCCCTCAGTAAGCAGGCTTGGTATTCCTCCTGGCTAAACTTTTGAGAATACACAGGACAACCGGGAAAGTACATGGGAAGGCTTTATGTAGCCTTGTGAACACTTGCAGGGACTTCATGAGATCAGCACACAGTCAGCCTCTCCTAAACTCCACCACAACCCACAACATTCCCCCTTCCACCCCACCCCCACTCCTGCCATTCCTGAAGGGCTGGAGGCTCCTTTTCCAGCCCAAGATCCTAAGACTCTCTAGATCAGACAAGGGACCAGCAGTTTTTGCCCAAGCACATTTTCAGTCACAAACGCTGAATAAAAGCAAGTTTTCCAGCTCACCCTGAGTTACCCAGAAATCTCTGCTGAGGCCAGGGAGCTGGGGCAGCGGGGGTCTGCTTTGCAAGTGAGAGTCCTTGCACCCAGAAGGGTCCAGAAAAGTCCAGATCCTAGAAGAGGCAAAGTGTGTCATATGTCAGCTGAGGTCTCACCAAAGCCCTCAGCACCCCAGACCCGCTGAGGAGAGGGAAGCTGGACCCAGAGTATCTGAGTAATTGCTGGGGCATGAATCCTCGTGTCTCCACCCCAGCACCCAATATGCATAGTTCCAGTATTGTGCCAGGGCGTTGGAGCACTGTTGTGGGAGGGCTGAGGCGTCCTCTCCCAGCTCTCCCTGACCTTCAGTGTCTGTGGCCCGCAGCCTGTGGCCCGGAACTAACGGAAAAGGGGATTTTTATCAGGCTTTACCATGTCCTTTCATTCTGATTGCAAAAGCAGCACTGTAGGCAGAGAAAGAAATGCATTTGTTAAATTCCTGCAGGGTGACTAGGTACAAGGGGGTGGAAAACATCTAGATTACACTCTGGCCCCATGCTCAAGACGTAGAGATGAGACCCAGAGGGCTGCTATCGAGGCAGATAAAGAGCCGCATGTCTCAGACAGAGAGGGCCAGCGAAGGCAGGGCCCAGCTGCTGGGCATTAGCAGAAGGCCTGTCACCTGCCCTGAGAAGTTTAGGCCCTGGTGAGACCCCTGGAAATTCAGAGCACACCGAAGGGAAGAGAACAGCTTGGCCAGAAACATTCTGTTGCTAATCTGGTGGCAAGATCCAATTTTCTCTCCCCATGAGGTAGTTCTACTCTGTCCTATAGAGTCACTATGAGTCAGAATTGACTTGATGGCAGCGGGTTATCCATTGAAGATGCAGGGCTCATGGCCACTCTGCCCCCTTCTAGAACTAGGGCCATGAACCTTGAGACCCTACCTTTGGTAACCTGTGGAGAACTAGTTGGTGGGTCTCCCTCCCTGGCCTGCTCCTTCCCAGCCTACCTCCAGCCACCGCTCTTTGCCCTCTACCCTCTGCCAGCAAATTCACCAGCCCCCAGGTCTCACCACACCTTTGCTTTCACTGTGACCCCTTAGGGGAATGGCATCATCACCTCTCACCTTCTGCTTCTCCAAGTCCTCTAGGTAGCCCCTCATCCTTGAACACCATCCTCCCCCAACCACCCAGAAGCTTCCTCATAACTACTGCCACCCTTGTGGTGGGTGCCCCGTGGCCCAGCCCTGGCTGAGAGGGGCACAGCAGTCTGGGCAACAGTCTTGCCTCGCCCTCCAGGCTGGAGCCCACCTTGGCCATCGCATCTTCCATAACTAATTACTAATAACCTTCACTATTCATTGTGTACCTACCAGGTGCTAGGCGCTTTACATAGATTATATCTTTTAATCATCCTAATAGTCCTATGATGTAGGTCCTATTATTATACCTACTTTACAGATATGCAAACCGGGTTCAGAGACGCTACTCAAGGACCCACAGCCAATGAGCGACAGAGTCAGGATTCAAACCCAGGCCCCTGCTCTCTGCTTGATGCTACCCTGCTTCTCTACTTCACGGCTTGGTCTCCCCTGGGTGTTGGAACATAGTTGATAGAGGCATGAGATCTTCAGTGCTGCAGAGAAGTGAGATCTTATTTTTCTGCCCAAGGCAATAACTAAAACTTCATGTTCAGAAATCAAAATGGGTCTCAAGGCTAACATGCCTTAGATTCAGGATCAGCAAGTGCCCAGCCCTGGGAGAAGCTGCAGAGGGTGGAGGGACTGGGGTTTAGGGCTCAGAGACTATAGTGTCTGCAGGGTGTCTTAGCCCTGCCGTGGAGCCCCTCGAATCCAAGGAAAGAGGTCTTGACCCACACGCCTCACCACCGTGAGCTCTCCCCACATCTGGCTCTGTTCAAAGGAGCTGAGAGAGACCCTGCACTTGGCTCCCCAAAGGAGGCATGAGCCCTGTAGACAGCACAACACAGGGAATGCAGAGAGGGGAGGCTTTCCCAGATTCTGAGGCTCCATGGGGCACAGGGTCACACCCTAACATGGAATCAGAGATTAAAGCAACACCCAGAACCTTCCAAAGAGCCAGCAAGGAAGTGAGCACATGGGTAGGCTCCCTGGAGTGGAGGGAGGAGGCCACAGTCCCTCAGTGCCCTGATTCGGACAGAACGGGGCCCACCCACAGGTCACACAAGGAGCTATTCTTCAGGCTCCCCAACCCTTCACCCCATCCTACTCTGTTTCAGCATCACCACCAAGACCGTGTCCAGGTACCGGGGTCAAGAGCACTGCCTGCACCCCAAGCTGCAGAGCACCAAGCGGTTCATCAAGTGGTACAACGCATGGAATGAGAAGCGCAGGTAAGTCTCACCTCTTCTATACCCACTTTTCCACTTAGGACGGAGAGGGACCCAGCTTCTGGGTCATTAGCCCACTGTCCAGTGTGTGAACACCCACCAAAATATCCTCAGCAAGCAGATACCCAGACACTACTTACATACCCCCAGGGATGAGGAACTCACCACTTAACAAAGCAGGCTGTTTCTCTCTTGGACAGTTGTAAGCATCAAAAGTTTATCCTTTTGTGAACTAAAGTTTGTTCTACTCTAACGTTTATGTTACAGTCCTAATTCTTCTTCTTATTTAAGTCGCTTAAGTTCTCTGATCCCCAGTTTCCTTCTCTGTCAAATGGCTGGGAGCACACCTGGCATGGCTGTCTCCTGTGGTTCTTGTGGGGTGAAATATGACCATCTAAGTGACTGGCTTTATTAACTATAAAGCTGTAGGTACAACCACGAGCTGATGAGGACAGCTCTTTGCTAACAGCATGTTCTCCCCTCCAAGGTGCCCATGCTCCCTGCTGCCCAGAAACCTGATCAACTCCTCCCCATGCAGGTGCAGGGAAGGAGCTTAGGTCTGACTCTTTAAATCAGAGTCACTCTTAACCCTGGAAAAGCAGCACTGGCGAGATGACAAGAACCCTGCACCAGACCCTTCCCTCTCTGGGGCTCTCCTTCCCAATAATCAAGGGTGCCTGACTAGCTTTGGTCTCCTGGAATCCTAGGTCTGCAATTGGAGGGGGAGGCAGCTTTCTGGCTCCCTCACACCACGTGGAAGGGAGCCTTTCCTGGAGCAGGCCCACTCCTCACACAGTCAGGGCCTGTTTACACCTGTACCTGCATAGCATGGCAGGAAAACAGACACACACAAGTGACTTCCCTGGGACGGGGCCCAGTGCCTCCCTCATCCTGCAGAGGCCAAGAGGGGGTAGGAAGTGACTTGCCTGGAGCATGGGCCAGGGTGAGAAAGCCAGGCCTCTACTGCCATTCCCCTCCCGCACCCACCCTGGGTGGAGGACGCAGCTGCAGTGGGTGCCTGCGCTGCCCCTCCCACTCAGCCTGGCCTTCCCACCCCAAGTGCAGCCCTGTGACCAGCTCTCCTGTAGTTGACACTTGGGCCCAACCCCAATACCTGAGCCTTTTTTGCTGCTTCCAAAACTGCCTCGTCTGCAGTTGCTTGAAATAACAAGTGATGAGAGCAAGAGATTATTTCCTATAAATCTGATGGGAATGAAGCCCTCTGTCTGGACAGGGCAGGCAGCTCATGTGGCAAAGCAGAACCTGCCCATGCACTCTCCATCATCCTCCAGGGCCGGACCAACAAAAGTGGAAGGCACCTAACCCAGGGCCAGCTCCTGGAGGAGGCTGAGAATGTCTTTTTCTGACTGCTTGGGGCGCCTTTCACTTTTGATGATGCAGGCCCTAAAGGGTGATGGAGAGGTGGCATCCAGATGCCTGAATATAGCTCTAACCAAACCAAAACCAAACCCATTGCCACCGAGTTGATTCCGACTTATAGTGACCCTGTAAGGACAGAGTAGAACTGCTCCAGATGGTTTCCAAGGCTGTAAATCTTTACGGAAGCAGACTGCCACATCTTTCTCCCTCGGAGCGGCTGGTGGATTTGAACTGCCAATCTTTTGGTTAGCAGCCGAGCACTTTAACCACTGTGCCACCAGTCTCCTGAATATGACACTGTTAGTTTTTATTTCTACAAATTCCAGTAATGACAGCAGTGAGAGCATCTCAGTTACTAGACCCTCCCTTCGCATCACTCCAGAATTCATTCACCCTCTGTCTTGAGTGCAGACGTGTCCTGGGAGAGGAAGGGGTGCTCCCTCGCCCTTTTCACCTGGAAAATGTTGAAAATGCCTTAATGAATATACAGCGGAGATAAAGGAGTTGTTTTGAAGGCCTCTTTGCAGAGAGAGAGATGAACCTAAGGTGTAGGAAAGAGAAAGGAGGGCCTAGGTCCAGGGGGACTCCAGGCATCTCAGAGACCAGAGCTTCTGGCTGCTGTGGGAAACAGCATGTTGGGCATTTTATTTCCATGCATAATTAGGTGGTCTTACAAAAATTCAGGAACAGGGCTGAGGCAGAGGGTGTGATGGGCTGTCTCAGTGTGAAGTGTGGCCCTCGGGACAGCCCTGGGCAGAACTATTATTAGCTGCTATCAAGTTGATTCCATGAGTCACAGAGTAGAACTGTGCTCCATAGGGTTTTCAAGGCTGTGACCTTTCAGAAGCAGATCGCCAGGCCCGTCTTCCAAGGTGCCCCTGGGTGGGTTCAAACTGCCAACCTTTCAGCTAGTAGTCAAGCACTTAACCATTTGTGCCACCCAGGGACACCAGGGGTAGAACTAGAAGGAATTAAAATACCTGAATGGACACGACTTGGGAGAGGAGAGAGCAAAGTCAGCTTGTGAATCCCTGCGGGCCTATATAACTATCTGAGGTGAGCCCGAGGCAGCCAAGAGGAGGAGATGGCAAGGGAAAGGAAATGGGACAGTCCCAGCCCCAGAGTCTTCAGCCGTGGACCAGAATAGGGGAGGCAGCAGCTTCTCGAACTGGAGTCTTCCTGCAGGACATGCATTCTTTGGGTGAAATACCACAGGAAGATATGAGCCAAAGCATGGGGAGGGGGTGCTTTGCCCTCCGCTATCCCCCATCCCACCACCTGCTTTCTCTAAACAGAAGGGCCAAGCATAGATGAGGAACTGTACAAGAGTTACAAGGAGATACAAAGCGAGAGGGAGCAGCCACCATGCTGGAAACAAACCTCATTCCTGCCACCAATGTTCAATGTTCTCTGGGCAATCTTAAGTCTCTGGGGCCCCAGTTTCCTCAAATGCAAAGAGGGTTTGCTTCATAGGGCTTTGAGGATAAAATGAGATTGCACAGGTGGAAGCTGTTTAGAAAGCACAAAGCCAGACTTGTGGGAGCTTTTGTGACAGTGTGATCACATCCCATGGGATGTCCCTCCCACCTCTCCCGGCTCCTGTCCAGCCCTGGGAGAGGAGAGGAGCGACTCCTGCAGATGTGGAGGAGCTTAGCCATCCACTTGTGAATTGCCTGGTTCCTGTCCTGAGCCACTTACACGTCTGTTTTTCCTTCCCAGGGTCTACGAAGAATAGGATGAAAAAACCCTAATATGAAAACTCCAGACTGTTTGGGAGACTTGAGCAAAGGACTTTGCAGATTAAAAACAAGAACAAACCTTTCTTTGTCACAGGCATAAGACACAAATTATATATTGTTATGAAGTACTTTTTACCAAGGGTCAGTTTTTACATTTTATAGCTGTGTGCAAAAGGCTTCCAGATGTGAGACTTGTTTCTTGAGCTTCAGACTCCATCACAGGCTGCTTTTTACCGAAAAGGGGGAAACTCATGCCTTTCCTTTTAAAAAAGTGCTTTTTGGTATTTGTCCATATATCACTACGTTTGCATCTGAGCTTTATAAGCACCTGGGAGGAACAGCGAGCTTGGTTGAGGCACTTCATTACAGTTGCTCCGTTCCTAGCCCAGGAAGCTTCTATTCAGAGTTCCTGGGGTCTCTCAGCACAGTGGCCACAGGCTCTCCTGGGCTCATGGTGGGTCACAGCCGCAGTGTGAATCCGCAATTGCCCCCATCTTCAGGCTAGCAGGAGCAGGTCTCTCTGCATCTGTTCTTTGAGGAACTCAAGTCTGGCTGCCAGAGAAATGTGCTTCATTCCCCCAGTTAATTTTTACAGACTTCAGAAATACATTTCCAGGATCCTGTGATAGCAAAGCAAATGATCCTTAAGGAAGGTTTGGGGTCTTTTCTCCAAACTGAGGGCTGCGAAAGGCTCGCTGCTTCAATACATAATGTTTCCAGAAGCATGTGAGTTTCCCAGCACTGTTAGTGAAAACCTTAGGTGATAACATAAGAATATGCTCACAATGTACAGCTACAGACACACATTCTATTGACGAGGGAAAACTTTCAAGGCGTCTCTTTCCCGCCCTGCAATGGAACATGCAGTACTAAAGCAATATATTTGTGATTCTCCCACGTAATTCTTCAACGTTAAACAGGGCAGTCTTCGTTTGAAAGCTAAGATGACCAAGCACCTTTTCCTTTGTAAATATGCTCTAAGAATGGCCCCCTCCACACACAACCCCTCCAGTGTACGTCACCTCGTACTGCTGTGTCATATGCTGTGTAAATGTCAGAAACCATTAGTGTTGCATGCAGGTTTCATATTCTTGCTAAGACAAAAAGAAAAATAATAAAATATATTTGAAATGTACCAAAATTCTAGACTCCTGACTTTTTGTTCATTTAATTAAGCTAGGATGATAGTGTGGTCCCAGGGTGGTGCGAGTGTTTTGCCCTCAATTACTCACCTAAAGATTGGCGGTTTGAACCCACCCAGAGGTGCCACAGAAGAAAGGCCTGACAATCTGCTTCTGTAAAGATAACAGCCAAGAAAACCTTATGGAGCAGTCCTACTCTGTAAAACATGGAGTGGCCTTCAGGCGGAATTGGCAGCAATAGATTTGGGGTTTTTTGTTTTGTTTTGTTTTCTTTCTAGGGGGGAGGTAGGGGGTAGCATGATAATAGTGTCCTGAATAAATAGGGACAAATGTATTAGGAAATAAAGCTGGTGTTTCCGTCACCGCTGTGGAATGTGTGGGACTGTCATTATCGTTCCCGTGACAGGAAGCCAGGCCTGAGGCTAATGCTTCTTCTTGCAAATTCAGCAGAATGGGCAGGCGGATGTATACATGACTGGAGGGTCACGCCTCAGTCCCCAACTAGAGAAGACAGTAGATAGAGAGACCCGTCAAGATGCCCTGGGTCCAGGGTCCCAAGATTCCAGTGGGGCCCAAGGAGCAGGCAGTGGAGGAGCAGGAAGCTCACCTGAGGTGGCCGTGGGGCTCTGCAGCCGGGCTGTCTGGGAGCCACACCTGGGAGGTCCTGACGCTCTGTGTCTGCTTCTGCAAGATGGAGAGGATAGTAGTGCAGCCTCATCACGCATCTGAGGACTGAGCGAGGACACCCATGTACAGCACTTAGAAGGATCCCAGGCCTGTGGTGTCAAAGCCAAAACTCATCTTGCTCCAGTTGATGCCAACTCATGGCAACCCCATTTGTTACAGAGTAGAACCACTCCATAGGGTTTTCTTAGCTGTAATCTTTACAGAAGCAGATTACCAAGACTTTCTTCCGCAGCACCACCAGGTGGGTTTTAACTGCCAATCTTTAAGTTAGCAGCCCACCAAGGACCTAGACCCATGCTGAGCACATGGTAAATGTGAGCCATTATTACATGCACAAGGCCAGGCCACTTCTCTTCACACAGCACAAACTACCCAGGGCCCGTCCCTGTGTCCCACAGTGTTCTGAGACAGCTGGGCTCTGACACCAGGCCCCCCTGTGCCCGCCCAGGCCCTCCACACTCAGCAGGACTATTCAGGGGACGTGCCTCCACCCTGATCTGCACTTTCTGTCGCTGCCATCAAGAACCAGGAGCCAGTCACCCGTGTCCCTCACCTCTGCAGATGGTTTCCTAACACACCTGGGTCTGCCAACACTTACCAGGATACACACCACAAACATCATGGTGATTCCAACTCCTGGTGACCCCATGTGCTGCAGAGTAGAGCTGTGCTCCACAGGGTTTTCTTGGCTGTGACTTTCTGGAAGCACGTCACTGTGCCTTTCTTCCCAGGCCCCTCTGGGTGCTTTCGAACTACCAACCTTTCTGTTTAGTAGCCCGCACTTAACCATTTGTGCCACCCAGGGACTCTACTGGGTGCCCACATGGTGTTATTGTATACCCTTTACTTCATGGTCTCACGACCTCCAGGCAGCTCCACTTTGCACCCAATGTGTTCCTGAGGAAACTGAAGACCAGAGAGGTTAAGAAAGTGGCTCGAGGTCACAGAGGGCTCTCACCCTGCTTCCAATAGCTCATCACACTGCTTCCAACAGCTGAGACTGTAAGTCTTCTTGCTGCAGGGCCCAGGACGGGGTTGCACGAGGCTACACTGGGCTGGGGAACGTGAATGCTGGTGTTCTGGCCTTTCCCTTCATTGCGAGAAAGAAGGGAGACTGGACAGAAAAGCCCAGAGACCAAACTGTCTGAGGAGAGCCATGGCAGCCCGCACACACTGAAAGCAGGGCCCGGTCACTCTCCCCAGGGGCCCTGACCCTGCTTGGCTGCAGATTAGCACCAGTGAGGCCTGTCTTGGTTACCTAGTGCTGCCATAACAGAAATACTACAGGGGGGTGGCTTTAAAGGACATAGATTTATTTTCTCACTGTTCTGGAGGCTAAAAGTCCCAGTCAGGGTCTCAGCTGTGTTGATTCCTTCTGTGAGCCTCTCTCGTAGTTTCTGGTGTCCGGCGGTGATCCTTGGCATTGTCTCCCCCTGTGTGTCTGTGTGTCTATTCTTGTCTTTTTATAACTCAGACATGATTAGGTTTAGGATACACCCTACTCTGGTATGACCTCATTAACATAACAAAAGAGGTGATCCAAATAGGATTACATCCACGGGTACAAGAGCCAGGAATTGAATTATGTGGGACATAATTCAATCCATAACAGGGTCTCACAAGAGAGCGGCCACAGTAAGGAAACTGGCTGAAGGAAACCCTCCTTCCAATTGCAAGGCCTGCTCATTTGCTGGCACAACAGCATCAAGCGCAGGTACGTCTGTGCTGGTCCTGCGCTTCTAGTTTCACCTTCACCCCTTCCACTCACTAGCAGTTTTGCTGCTAAACGTGCCAAGCACACCTCCTGGCTCTTTCCCACCTGTGGTCCCAGTGCCAGCACATCCTCCTCTGGCTCTGCCAGCACAAATGTCCCCGCCCTTCTCTGACCTCCCAGATCCCTGGTGGATTAGAACCATAGTAACCAGGTCACCTGACAGCGTGCCAGACCTGACCTGGGCCCTTGGCCTGCATCCTCTCCCTTTGTCCTCATAACAGTCCTATACTGTAAGTACTCAGGCAAATTAAACGGCTTGTTTAGGAGACACAGGCAGTAAATCAGAGGGCGAGCTGGGACACAAGGCCTAGTCTTTCAAAGAGCAGAGGAGTGGGGGTTCTGTGTGCAAATGTCTACTTTCCCCACAGAGGTCGGGTGTCTCTGGAGGACAGAGGCTGGGCTGTCCTTGCGTGGAGGTCTCGGATCCTTTCCCCCAACAGCTAAGTGTTAGCCAGAGCCTAACACTTCCCCAAACACCAAATGAGGACCTACCCAAAGGAAGAACCACACTAAGCCCCACGGAAGAATCCCCTTTCTCAAGGTTAAAGAGCAGTTTCCTGTAGTTTCTCTCCTCTGGGCTTCCCAGCAGCCCTATGAGGTGTCTACCCACTGCATTCCAGGAAGGAGAGTAATTCTAGCACAGCAATGCACAAAGCAAGGCCAGGCTGCCTTTCCAAGTGGGCTCGCCAGTTGTGGCTCTCCTGGGTTCCCCTGGAGCGGGGTGAGCCCTACTCCTTTTCACAAGGGGCAGGCAAGGCCCACACACGGGCCCCATCTCTAGAGCCACCACTTCCTCACAAATGGGTATGCTTTGGGATCCCAGTACAATTTCCCCTGACTCCACCACTCTCCCCACCTCCTGAGCACATCCGTGGTGCTGACACCAGGCTTGATACTAGGACAGCCACATCCTTAGAGAACTTCCACCCAGCCCTCAGTCCATCTTCTTTGCCTAGCTAAGCTTTCCTCAGATGCCCCCTCCACCAAGGAGCTTTTCCTGGTCACCCAGGCCCTCTTGTCAGGACCACCTACAAAATGTGCAGGGCCTGATGAAAAATAATTAAGAATTTCAAGATGGTGGCAGCAGAGTAAAATGAAACCAAATGCAAGGCTGAGAGCAGGGCCCTGTGTGACTGCACATGTTAGATGCCCATGAAGACAGCCCTATCTCAGGAATCAACTCTGACACTCATCTTGACCTGGAGAATTATTACAGGACTTCTACTATAACTTAATAGTTTTATTTTAACTTGAACATCTAAAAGGATATGTTTTTAGAAGCCAGAGACCATGCCTTATGCTTCTTTGTGAAGACCTCCAAAAACCTATAACAGCCTTTATTATGAGTTGTTCAAACTCTGTGAATGAATGAATATTAGGACCTTCAGGCACTCCCTGGCTTCAGGTTCAGTGTGTCATGAACTAGCAGCAAGGAGAACATGTCTTTAGCTCATTCACTGAGCTA